CAGGCTCAGGCCTACTGCTCCTCTTTTTCCACCATGGGGCCATCGAGGCTCACCACCGTGATTTCTACTGGCTGCTGTGTTTATTTTGGGCACAAGCCCATGGAGCCTAGGGCTGGTAGTTCAGAGAAGATGGGAAAACAAAGCTGCTCTCTGTAGGCTGGGTGCAGGCAGGGCAGCTACAATCAAGCTGGTTCAGCAGGGTGGGGAGGAACCTGCTGGTCTGAGGGCAGAGGTGAGGAGTGGGGACATCAGAAAGTCTGTATAGTGAGATACTTGGGCCAGAGCAGTGGTGGCAGCTAACCTAGAGACATATGGACCCAGACCTGGGAACGATTAGCACCCAAAAGCTATGCACAGGGGATCTGTGTGCAAGTAGGCTGCATGCGTGCACTAGAACAATGGGTGACAGGTGACCTCATGGCCATGTTAATCATACCCACTGTGGGAGGAGGGAGGTGTGAGTAGCTCAAGGGAAGGAGAAACAGTCTAGAGCAAAATCCTTTCACCACACAGATGGTTATGGGCACAGTCTGTGTGGTATTGCGCTGCCTGCTGTGTGGCTCATGGAGCTGCTCAGGAAAGGGCTCCTGAGGCAGTCAGGCCACAGGGTGGGGCTGGTGCCTATGCACCCTGCGGCCGGGCTCTGCTCTGGGAGTGCCAAGGGCACATTCTGTGTGGGGTGAGGGTAGCCAGGCATGAGGAGGAGGGCCAGGAGGGGAGGGTCTTCCCAGGGAGATGGATGCTGACAGGCAGAGCTAGATGAAGCTGAAGAGGGAGAGCCTGCAAGGAGGGAAGACTGCCACAGCCAAGGTGGAGAAGAGGAGCTGGGTGGAGGCTACATGGGCAGCGGCAGGGAGGGCCTGTACGCCGAGCTCAGAGGCTGGGCTTGGGCGGGCAGGGGAGGACATTGCTGTGGGGAGAAGTGAGGAGAGGAGAACTGGTGGAAAGAGAGGAATCAGGAGGTTACCAGGATGTGTGACACTCAGGTCCCCAGAGGACCTTTGCACAGAGACCTTTGTCAAGAGACTATTCTAGCCAGCACTCACGGGCAGTGGGAGCCCAAGACCCTCCTTTGCTCCAGGTGCAGGGCAGATGGTTGGGGAGGGGGCTCAACTCGTCCAGCAGGAGTCTTTCAGTGCCAAAGGATGGGGTTTCCTAGGTGACCTGTGTTGTGTCTCCCAAATGGCAAGGTAGTGTTCACTGCAGTCACACAACTAGACACTGCATTAAAGTGGATCTTCTTCTCTGTGCCTTTCACGACCGTGGACAGCAGTTTGCCCATTTCTAGGTCTTCTACACTCAAATAAGAACTGTCCTTAGTTGGCTTTGTGATCTTGGATATGTTTAGGTAGAAAGACAAGTGTTTGCACTTTTAGAGTGCTGACTTCCCATCGGGCAAGCGACAGAGCACTTCTGGCCATTAGAACATTCAGCGGCAATATAATAATAATCTATATGTGCTCTTTGTAGCTTATATATTTCTTTAGACAATCAGCTTCTCAGACATAAATGAGCAGTCAGACTGTGTTGTTTAAGGTCTTTGTCTCTCAAACTCTCTATTTCCAATAGGTCCCCTAATGTTAGCCATCAGGAACCAAACTTAAAAGAAGGTGACCTAGGGGCTTCTCCACACAGTGGCAAGCATACGAGAATCATCTAAGAGCTTTAGAACCTGAATGGAGGTGGCTTCCCAGTGGGTGCTTTAGAGAAATTCACAGACTATAGACCTGGATTGGACAATTCAGGAGGAATTAGGGAATGCTTGGGTAGATGACTAAGCATAATAGTAGGAGCCTGTGAGCAATTACTACTGTCATTCCCAAATCTGAGCCCAGTGTAGTCACTGCAGAAGGATGAAGTATCTGCCCAGGACACACAGAGCTCTGATTTGAAGCGCTCTGGCCTGGTCCTCACCCAGAATGCACTCCCAGCCCTGTCCAGAAGGAAGCCCAGTGGGGCTCCTAGCCTGCTGGCTGGCCACTGGTGAAGATGGTGGGCGGGCACTCAGGTGTTGGTTTTGCCCAGTGAGACTATGTGAACCCAGACTCTAGTCAGGGAGACCAAATCTCTACCAACCGTGGGTTTATGATTTAGGTTAAAGTCCATTCACCCTTAGAAGCAAATTTCACCTTCTGCCTAGGAAGGACCTTCCTCTCCAGGGGGTGGAGAAAGAGGTCAATGTGTGCCTGCGGGACATCCCTGCACGGCAGTCAGCCTCACCCTGCCCCCCAAGGGCCTTCCGTGGCCAGCAGGTCACAACACAGGGTCTTCACTGCTGAGCATAGGGTAGCCCCTGGTGGGCTCTGCACTTGGCGGCCAGCTCCAGATGGCACACAAAGCAGCAGAAGGAAAGTCAGGTGGAGAGTTTGCTGGGTGGATGCCACATCGGCTGAGCCGAAATGATCCTTTCAGCCAGGCACTACCCAAGGTTGAGGGCTCCTTGCCACTTGGGAAGAGGGCAGCAGGCCCAGGAGGGCTGGGGCAGAGTGGTGCTGGTCCTAGTGATGGGTAGCAGAGCCTGGCCCTCCCTCTCCCTGGCTCTCGGGCCAGTCCTCACATGGCCTTTGTGGTGTGTGTGTGTGTGTGTGTGTGTACTGGAGCCAGGCCCTTGAGGTAGTGGTAAGAGATCTGCTGGGATCTGCCCCGCTTGGCGTGTACCTGAAGTGATTCAGTCATTTTGCTTATTATTCACCATGGGGTGGTTCTTGAGCCCCTGCTTTGTGCAGCTTCCTGACTAGAAACACAAAGACAAAAGACATTTTCCCTGGCAGGCCCTAGAGATTAGGGGAAGAGGGCTTTAACCCTCCCAGTGACCATGATAAGAAGTAAGGCCTTTGGGAGTTACTTGGGTCCAGAAGATGACGGACAGTGGAATCCCATGATAGAATTGGGGCCTGCTAAGAAGAGGAAGAGAACCAGGGCTCTGCTACACACACACACACACACACACACACACACACACACACACACACACATACACCATGAAGGCTGTGTGAGGACTGGCCCAGGAGCGGGGCCCTCACCAAGAACCCACCTACGCAGGCTCCCTGATCTGGGACCTCAGCCCCAGGACTGTGAGGAACAAATGTGGTTGTTGAAACCATCCTGGAGTGCTCCGCTGCCTCAGTGGGTCCCCACTGTGTGTGCTTTAGGGAGAGGTTGCTGTTCCTTTACAGGCACTGAGAGGCTTCATTTTGAAACACTCTGTTGTTGAAGACGCTGCCACCTGAACATTCTACACACCAGTGTCCTGGGCCCTGCACCCACCCAAGATGGGAGAAAGACCTGTGTTCCTGATGGGAGCCATAGGCCACGGGTGGCAGTTGAAATTTAAAGTAAACAATATTAAAACTCCAGCTCCTCAGTCACATGAGCCACCCTTCAGGGACTCAGGAGTCACATGCAGGCAGTGGCCTCTTTTGGGACAGAGCAGATGTGAAACACTTCTGCTGTCGTCCTACCTTGGGTGGCTGCTGTGCCGCCCAGAAGCACACAGTACCAGGTGAGGCACCTGGAGGGCCCTGGTAGAGGGGCCTAAGCCAGCTGAGGCGGGGGTAGAGCCCTGGAGTGAGAATCTCCGAAGAGTTGGGGTTCCTGGCTCTCTCAGCAGAAATAGCCCAATCCTGATCTTGCCTTGGCTGCAGCCTGTCCCTTCTCTTTCCACGTGTCGCCTATGCTTTCATGTCTGTCCAGGCTTCTCTGCCATATTTGTCAGGGATTCCAGTGGGGCCTATGTTTGCATAGCCCGGTGTGTCTTGAACTGCTCTAGAAGCTCTGGAGGGCAAGTTGGATCCTGATTCCTGGCTCACTGGGTTTATTAGTGGCATTGGCAGCCCTGGGTGGGGCTGGAGACAGTTTCCTCGAAAGGTCGGAGAATGCTGCTATCCAGGCCCCACTCTGAGAACCATGGTGTGGGCTGAAGGATCACAGTCATTAGCTCAGTCTTGGGGTAGTGACAGTGTGCTCTGTTCTCCAAAGCCCTCCAGGGCTGTCGTGGGGAGGAGGGACAGACGTAGACAAACCTTAGGTCAGGTGACAGTGAAGGTCGTGAAGATACATAGGGGTGAAGAAGGGCTGTTTTTCAGGATCTGAGACACTTTCAGAAAGGCAAGGGCATGGGAAGGGGAGATCCTGACCTTTCTGGTCTTGTTTTGCTACATCCTCAGCTTTTTAATTTGAAAAGTGAGACTCTTGTTAAAAATGAAGGTCATCAGCCTACCCCACAGGTGGGTTTGGAAGGCAAGTCTAATGTGCGTGTGCGTGTGCATGTGTGTCTGCATGTGCACATGTGCGTATGACTGTGGTTGTATAGAAGCAGGATGCTAAAGCCAAAAACCAGAGCTCAGCCTGCAGTGCCACCCTTGCTGCAGCAACTGATCCCCATATGTCTTATGTCATGAGCCCCCTCTGGGCTCCTCTGGCCACACTCCTCCCTCTCTGTGGGGTGAAGAGTTGGAGGGCTAAGGGACCATCCTTCAAGAGGACCCTATAGGAGTCCAGTCCATGCAGCCTCGTCCCCTTTGAGGCCCACAGGCTTCTTCCCATCCATTCTGCTGCACGTGCACCACAAGTCCGAAGGGGTGCATTGTGCAGACTGTGCGGAGACTGTGCGCAGCTGGGTGGAGCTGGGGGCACTGAGCTTGGCCGGGGCTCTCAGATATTCCTCAGCCCAGCTGATGGGGGATAAACCTGCCACAGGAAGAGCAGGGCCAGCCAGGCCAAGGGCTCTGCGAGCATCAGGGCTGGGCTTTGTGCTCCCTACCTCTTCAGAGCTTTGGGGTCACGTGGAAGAGTACAAGCCAATCCACACCCACCCAGCACCGCCAGGGAATAGGTATATGTTGTAGGCATCAGTCATGGTCCCATCATAGGTGAAGACTGTGAAGACAGCTCTCCCTTGGGACTAGCCCACCCTCTCGTGAACACAGGCTTTCCTGATAGAGTACAAGCGTGCGCCTTTCACATCCACTGCCTTCACCAACGTGAGATATCTTTTTCAGGCCCAACTCTCTCAGGCCTTAAATGGAGTTTCGGACAAGGCCAAAGAGGCGAAGGAGTTCCTGGTTCAGCTCAAGAACATCCTGCAGCAGATCCAGGTGAGAGTGTGATGGTACTGGGCGTGCTCTGTGTGCTCAGTCTGCAGAACACACTGGCACTCAGGACGGGAGCCTTGGGACAGGTGTTTCCAGCAGAGAACATTAGAAGGTTAGCGTGGCCTGTTGTGCACCTGTTGTGGAAGCCAGTTAGAAAAAGTCCTGCAACAGAGGGCCAGAGAGATGTGATCCATTGTCACATGGCCGTGCAGTCCTATGTGGTGATATCCATACAGGGTGCTTTTTAAACCCAAACACGCCAGTGTAAGCAATGCATCTAAACAAAAACACCTCATTTCCTAAACAAATGTGTTTGTGGAGTACCTATGCTCTGTACTGGACCGAGCCTAGCTAGGGCACAAAGACCTGCACAAGCAGTCTGGCTTCCGGGAGCCCTGTGTGGAGGGGAGAGAGTGCTCATGTGTGTGGACACACACAGGCTGTCCATATAGACCAGGAGCCTATTAACCCTCCATGTATCTGGCTGGGAAAAAGAGCCTTAGGGCCCGCAAATTCTTCATTAGCTCATAAAAACTGTGTTAGCCAGCTGTCCCTTACACCAACACAGTACCTGAGGTAACCAGCGTATAAGGATGAGAGCGTTACTTTGGCAGTTCCAGCCTGGGGCATCACAGTACACTGTGGTGGGAGCACAGGGCAGAGGAGGCGGCTCATCTCATGTGAACAAGAAACAGAGAGAAAGGGAGACGCTAGAGTTCCCATAACCCTTCAAGGACACAGTGCTGATGACATAATTTCCTCCCACTAGCGCTCACCTCCTGAAGCTCTCACTGCCTACTAGTAACACCAGTGGACAAAGCCTTCAACACATGACATTCAAGGTCCAAACTATAGACCAGGCATAGCAGTGCATGTCTGTAATCCCAGCTACACGGGAGGCTGAGGCAGGAGGATAGCAAGTTGGAGGCTAGCCTGAACAATTTAGCAAGACTTGTCTCAAAATAAATTTTTGAAAAAGGACTGGGGGTGTAGCTCTGTGGTATACTTGTCTAGTATGCATGAGGCCTTAGGTTTAGTTCTCAGTACTGAAGAAAAAAGAAAACAAAGAAACACCAAACTTCAGCAAAACCCACCCCCTAACAAGTTAAACTTAGACTTCAGCCATGAGCATTTTAAGTCCTGAGATTTCTGCTGCTTCACAAACATGAGATGCCCTAGTTTGCTTAGTCTGCACCACAAACTATCAGAGATGGGGCAACATAAAGAACAGAAATTTATTCTTTCAGTTGTGGGGGCTGAAAGTCCAAGGTCAAGGTGTGGGCAGGGTGGTTTCTCCCGAGGCCTCCCTCCTTGGTGGCAGATGGCATCTCTTCCCGCGCCCTCATGTACATCCCTTGTCCCATTTCTAAGAGCACTCGTCAGCCTGGATCTGGGCCCACCCTCATGGCCTCATTTTCACTTATGACCTGTTTAAAGACCTTCTTCAGTACAGCCACATTCTGAGGTCCTGGGATTGAGAATTCCACACTGGTCAGCCCATAGCCTGAGGTCTGCATCTATGATGATCTTGACCTGAAGGATTCTTTTTGAAAATCAAGAAAGAAAGACCTACTGCAAGAACATAATTTTTTGTTTGCTTATTCCTGAGTATAAAAAGCAAAAGTATGTATCATAGAAATTTTGGAAGCTGGGCATGGTGGCATATATCTGTAATCCCAGCACTTGGGAGGCTGAGGCAGAAAGATCACCATGAGTTTGAGGACAGCCTGGGCTCCATGGTGAGTTTGAACCCAGCCTGAATTACAGAGTGAGACCCTCTCTCAAAAAAAAAAAAAAAAAAAAAACAAGTTATAGAAAGTAGAAGAAAAGTAGACAAAACTAAGATAAAGTTCACTAACATCTTACCCATGTCACCATGTTGACACAAGTTGTTCTAATACTTTGGACCCAAATATATGCACATTGTCCATAGAATTATGCTGCACATAGCCACGCCCTCCTCTTCCTCTTCCTCCTCTTCCTCCTTCCTCCTCCTTCTCCTTCTTTTTCTTGGTTTTTTGAGACAGGGTCTCACTGTGTAGCCCAGGCTGACCTCCAACTCACAGTAATCCTCCTGCCTCGGCCTCCTGAGTGCTGGGGTTACAGGCATGCGCCACCATGCACGCCCAGTTCCTTCTTCTTTTTGCAGTACTGGGAATGGATCCCAGGGCCTCACACATGCAAGGCCAGTGCTCTACACCTGAGCCACTCTCCAGCCCTTTCTCCTTAGCACTCTGTCATGAGCACATCCTAACAATGGTCTGTGAGCAGGTGCATGTGATAGCAGAGGAGTTGGCTGTGTGCATGTGCTGGGACTCCTCCCAATTCCTGTTCATAAGTTCCCACACACCAGTGTCTGTATCTCTGAGCCAAGCACCCCCAAACACTCTCCTATAATGATATGCAGTGAATTAACTATTGTTATTCTCTTATTATTTTGTTATGAAATTTTGTTTACTGTTTCAGTAAAAAACGACAACAACAACAACAAAAGACTCTTCTGTCTTTAGTGCTCAGGATCTCAGTGCCTTCTTAACACTCTCTGCTTCCCCCAAGGAAAATGGCCTGGACTATGAGGCCTGCCTGGTGGCTCAGTGTGATGCCCTGGTGGAGGCGCTGACCCGGCAGAAGGCCAAGCTGCTCACCAAGGTGACGAAGGAGAGGGAGCACAAGCTGAAGGTAGGTGCCTGGGCGCTCTCTGCTGAGGGCTGGGCGAGTGCAGGGAGGCGGGCTGAGCTGGCCGGTCCCACTGCACCTAAGGCCAGCTGCCACCCCCGCTCTGTCTCCTGGCTTCTTGCCATATGGCAAGAAGCAAGTGGCTTTTTGCCATAGCCAAGTCAGAAGCCGCTCTCCCACCTTCCCTGGCTCTTGTGTCTGCCAGAAGGACCCTCTTGGACTCATCCTGCAGAGCAGGAGTGACCAGTGACCGGTGGCCAGTGGCAGTGACCAGGCCTAGCTCTGCTCAGGCCTGCAGCTCTGTCCAATCTTCACGTAATAACACATGGGCCATTTTCCACCAGGGGGCAGGGATCCATGCCTTCCCCCTCCCACAGGTCCCGGCTGGGGTGGCTGCTCATCCCTCTGAGCTGAGGAGGGGTTCTCACTGTCCCAGGTCACTGTCTCACTGTTGCAGAGACTTTTCCCAGCCGAATGTGTGCACAGGTGAAGCCGCTGAGCCAGAGGAGCCATCTGTGAGCCCCAGAAGGGCAGTGGGAGGGGAGGAGCTGGCCCCCAGGGTGGGAGTTTAGATGATGCCCTTTCTCTGCAACCCTGTCCAGAGTGCAGAAATTTGCAGTGCTGGGCAATGGGTCTGTTTACACCCCACTAAAGAGGACGCTCTGCTCATGAGTAGAGCAGGGAGTTGGGCAGGAAGTGGTCCAGACCATCATTGCCCCTCCCCATTGCTGCGCTAGCTGACTCTCCGGGGTGGCTGCTCTTCCCCTGGGCCATGGTCACCCAGAGGAGTCTCCCCTTTGCAGATGGTCTGGGACCAGATCAACCACTGCACACTGAAGCTGCGCCAGTCCACAGGCCTAATGGAGTACTGTCTGGAGGTGATCAAGGAGAACGACCCCTCGGGCTTCCTACAGGTGAGGCGCCGCGGGAGGCCACCAGCGGGCTTCTTCCAGCTCCTCCAACACCACTCCCCAAACCAGCCTACATTTGAGACAAGATCTTGGCTTGGCTTGGAGCTGAGTTATTCTCCTTTGCTTAGTGATTCCAGAAGCTCACTGGCTGCAATCCTAATTTTGTATCATCCATTAAGCAAAAAGGTGAAATGGCATCATCCGAGGGGCCGAATGCCATGCTTTCAGCATTTTCCTCACAAATGGAAAGGATAGTCTTGGCCAAATAGGCTGGACAGATTGCACAAGGAGAAGTGAGTTAGCAGAATCCACACAGCCTCTACCTCAGCATGCAGAGTCCTGCAGGCCCATAGTGGTGACCAGCCACCCACAGAGACCATGCAGTCTTCCAGGGGTCATTGCTCCAGCCTCAAGCTGACTCAGGGACACGAGCAGCTCAGGAAGAGGGCACTGATTCAGTCTCTGTTTGTGGGGAAAATGATGAACCCCTTGGTTATTCCCCAGGAAGGGAGCATGAGTATGACGAGCAGGACTTTCCCGCAAAGAGAGCAGAGCCATGGGTGGGATGCAGTTAGAGTTTGCCGCAGAAGCCACAAGAAGAGACATGAGGGGGAAGTGGGAGACGCTTTCTTCACACCCTGGGACAAATGACGAATATGTTTCACTTTGCAAACTACTAGATTTGGCAAAACATGTAGTGAAGGATGCTTTTGCATATATTTTTTTTTGAAAACATCGTTTACTTCACAAAAGGGTTCGCCCGAATTTCTTTAAATAGCCGGTGCTTCTTTACATTTTCCATGACCAGGCTTCTGAGCTATAATTGAAACAACGCACTGCATCTTTCTGCAGCTAGCTCCGGCCAGTCCCCTTCAGGCCAGGGTCCCTTCATCTCTGCCGTGGCTCAAGGCACAGCTCCTCTCGTCCCCAAGCCACAGGCACAGAGCTCCAGCCCTTCCTCCACACCTGTGTATAATTCTTCCTGCAATTCAGACCCTCAACCTTGTGCTTCCCCTTCCCAAGATCTCCGACGCGCTGATCAAGCGTGTGCAGGTGTCTCAGGAGCAGTGGGTCAAAGGTGCCCTGGAGCCGAAAGTGTCTGCAGAGTTTGACCTGACCTTGGACAGTGAGCCGCTGCTGCAGGCCATCCATCAGCTGGACTTCCTTCAGATGAAATGTAGGGGTGAGCCGCGGTTGGCCCCAGTTCAGTGGGTGCTTCTTCCCACAGAGGCATCCAGTCTGAGGGCAGCTTGGTGCTGGTGGGAGCCTGCGATGCCCAGGCCAGCAGAATGAGGGGTGGGGATGCCAAGTCACAGGCCTGGCTGTGGAGACTGGGGTCATCGCCCACAGCCAGAGCTGAGCTTCCTCCTTGTAAAGTGAGGACTGCTTGTCATTCAGAAACACAAGCTGGGTCTGGCGGCATGAATCTATAATCCCAATGCTCTGGGAGGCTGAGCCAGGAAATTTCCAAGTTTGAACCCACCCTGGGCTCAACATAGCAATGTAGAGAGTCCCTGTCTGAAAGTAAAACAGGGCGGGGGATGTAGTTTGGTGCAAAGGTCCTGGGTTCAACCCTAGTACCACAAAACAAAACAAACAAAAAATACAGTGTCCACCCAGGCCAGGCTGACCATGACAGGTCGTCTGAATGCAGGGATAAATAAGTCTGCAAGCCCTCATGGACTGAGCTTCTGGTCCAGATAAGGCCATAGATCATGAGCAACCAAGTCAGAATACAGTGTCAGATAGTGGTAGGTACTGTAAGTAAAGAGCAGAGTGAGGGGCAACAGTGGATGTTGGGGGTGTATTTTGAGGTGAGGAGGGGTAGGAGTAGGAAAAGAAGGAAGAGGGAGAGGGAGGAAGGAAATGAGAGGGAAGCAACCTAAGGGAAGAGCACCAGAAGAGGTAGAGGGATAGGAAGTGCCAGGGCTCTGAGGCGGGAACAAGGTTTCTGTACCCTAAAAAGAGCAAGACAGTCAGAAGTGAGAGCAGAACGAGCAGGTGGAGGACCGCAAGAGCCCAGTTCAGAGAGCCGAGGGGACACAGAGTGAAAGGTTAAGCGAAGGTTCTACAGTCTGGTCTGTTACAAAGTTAGCAAGTGATGGTCAGAACCAGAGTCCTGTCATCCGCGCTGCCTCTTAGAGCCATCAAGGGCATTCAGTAAGGAAAGCACAGCTCTTCTGTCTTCTGAAGACTGGAGGCTACGCCTGCAGATCCGCAAACCAGGACCTGATGGCAGAATGTGTGATATGGCCATTTTTAACTTCTTAGCAAAACAAGTCTCTTACACACTCCTGTCTCACTCCCCTGTTTCGTACTCTGTGAGGTTCAGAAGTGCTGCCTGCCCCAGGTGCAAATGAGACGCAATGTGGAGGAGCTGGAGTGGCCTGGGGGGTGCAGGAGCTGCATAGAGGGACGGTTACAGAAAGTGGCGGTGCCACGGGAGGAGGCTCAGGAACTTGGGTACTGTTCCTGCCTTGTGGATCAAGGGGTCCAGAGACGAGAGCAGAAGGGGATGGAAAGAGAACCAGAGGGCAGCAGTCTCACTGTGCTGAGAACATGCAAGTAGTCAGATTTCACCCAGCGGGGCTGTTGGCCAGCACCTGTAAGACAGTGACCTCATTCTTGAAACTAAATAGAAATGACAGTTTTTCCAGAGCCAATCTTGCCATTTTTCCTTTTAAAAAAGATCGGAGTGGACTGTATCAGTTTCAGAACTCGCTTGAGCCCAGTGAATAGAGCTAGAACATGCAGAGTCTCCCACTGTCAACTTAGGAGAGCTCAAGGCACACCTGACTCAAGCCCAGTTGCTTGGGTTGGCTGTTGGGTCCCCTAAGACTGCTTCCTTATCTAGATCTAGTCCCCTGACCTCTGAAAGCTTCCCCCAAAGATTTAAATGCATCAGTGCTTTTGTGTCAGTCAGTTCTACATCACTGTAACAAATTCCTGAGATAATCCTTGAAGAAAAAGGTTTATTTTGGCTCACAGTTCTGGAGGTTCCAGTCTATGGCTGGTTGGCCCATTGACTGGTGGTGAGGCAGCACATCATGGCCACAATACAATAGAGCAAGACCACTCTCTTCATGGCCAGGAAGCAGAAGAGAGGAAGAGTAGGGGTTGGGGTCCCACAACCCCCTTTGATGGCACGCCGACAATGACCTGATGTCCTCCCACTAGCCCCTATCCTTTAAAGTTGACACCACTCCCCATAATGTCACACTGGAGACAAATCCTAACCTTAACATAGGAGTCTTTGGGGGACAGTTATGATCCGTTGCACAGCACCCTGTTCCTGTCCCAAGCACAGCCTCAGATTGCCTTACTTGATCCCAGCCCCTCCAAGAGAGGGCAACAGGCACAGTGCGGACTCTGCTGTGTGCTCTGGCCCCTCAGTGGGTGGGTGGGAAAGAGGAGCACCTTCCTCGGGACACTGGCTCTGAGCGCCAGGCCACGGCCAGTCCCCAGGATACAGGACTTCCTCTAGGGCTCCCTGTGCTTCCCTGACCACTGGCAGTGGCTGTTGGTGGCCAGAGAGAGGGCTCAGCCATGTCATCTTCAGGGGCTTGTGGGAGCAGGACACTGTGAGCTGATCCCACGGTCCCTGTCCCAGTGCCACCCGCCCCCCTGCTGCAGCTGGAGAAGTGCTGCACCCGCAACAACAGTGTCACACTGGCCTGGAGGACGCCACCCTTCACCCCCAGCCCTGCCGATGGCTATGTCCTGGAGCTGGATGACGGCGATGGGGGGCAGTTCCGGGTGAGCCCCACGGGCCCTGGGGATTCTGATGCATGGTGGTTGGTGGGGGAGTGTGCTAGTCTGTGGGGCTTCTCTTAACCACAGTGCCACCTGAGCACGGGGCCAGGGCCACAAGGACCCAGGAGCACAGGCAGCTGCAATTTAGTGAGATCTTGTCTCAAAAAAGGGCTGAAGATGCAACTCGGTTTGAAGACCTTGGGTTTACTCCTTGGTACTGTATGCCAAAAAAATTTTATATATATTTATCACTTTTACAGTCCCTTGGGAATCACTTAATCATGTGTAGACGTGGCCACAGGGGAAATGAGGAGACACAGCTTGAGTCAGGGACAGCAGACCCTAGCTGGGTGCAGACTTTGGTCTCTCCTGTGGTGCAAGTGAAGCAAGAGGGGAAGGAACTCCTCCTCCAGAAACCAGAAAGAAGAGAGAAAGCCTGGAGGTACTAGGAGAAGCACCCACGGAGCTCAGAGACAGCCCCTCCTCCCTGAGTACAGGGCAAGGGCCAGGGCTCGTGGGCAGCAGGGTGCAGGGAAGGGAGAGGCTTTAATGCAGATAGCTGGATTTGGAAAGCGGCCCTAAGTAGAGCAGTGGGGATCTGGAATGAGCTTCCATCTTCTTAGGCCTCCTTGTGTGTGTCCCTGGGTTGCGTGGTGACTGGGATACCTAGTGCAATGAGAGGTGCACAGCGATGATTACCAATTAGCAATGGAGCAGCAAGTGAAGAGGGAGCCCTAAAGGGACAGGTGGTGGCTGCAGGCAAAATGAGCAGCACGCATGGCGAGTGCCGCACATGGCCATACATCCTGAGGGTTGGTAGGACAAGAAGCATTTGGAAGCCAAGGGGAAACAAATCCATAGAAAGGAAAAATTGGGATCCAGGGCAGGAATGCCTTACCCCCTGGGGACATCTGGAAAACAGCAGCTCCAGGAAGCCAAGGAACAGAAGATACAGCCTCAAGAGCAAGAAGGGATGTGGCAGTCCTGTCCCCCAGAGCCCCCAGTTCTGTCTCCCTAGGTCCCCTGCATCCCCCAGCCTCACAGGCAGAGGGGCCGCCCAGCCAGCAGTAGAGGCATCTGGCCTCTTGGACATGGCCTAGGCCCAGCCATGCTGGCTGCAGTCTCTCTTTTCTGTCAGTCCGGCTGGATGATGGAACTTTGAGTGTCAATTTGCTATGAGGGATTTTCCTGGAGCCCCAGGGGCCTAATGGGTAGCCTTGGCTCTTCCAGGAGGTGTACGTCGGCAAGGAAACCCTGTGCACCATAGACGGGCTGCACTTCAATAGCACCTACAATGCCAGGGTCAAGGCCTTCAACTCCTCAGGTGTCGGGCCGTACAGCAAGACAGTTGTCCTGCAGACGTCTGATGGTAAGCACCACCTCTCGCGGTGGGCACACAGACACATCCTCTCGTGCCTTGAGTGCTGTGGTCAGAATTTTAGAGAAAGGGCCTCATGTCCCATATCCTGGGGGGTGGGGAGCAGAAGGGGTAACCCCTTGCGGGCTGCAGAACAGAGAACTAAGTTTTGTGCCCTTGCCTGTGTCTCAGTCTCCCACCATGAGGTAGGCCATCGATGTCCCCTTCCTTCTCTCCTAACAGCGTGTGTGCTTGCAAGGATCCCCGAAGGCAAGACCCCACAACGCATCTGTACATTGGACTGAGAGGCCTGAACACCTGTGTTCCTTGGCATGGCTGGGTTCTGGGGATGGGAACATGGAGGAGCACAGAGCAAGGAATGTGTGCATGTGGGTGTGTGTGTGCATGTGTGTGGTGTGTACACTTCCCAGGCACAGGACCACTGGACACTGGGTGCCCACTTTCCAACGAAAACCAGTGAGTCTGGGCAGGTCTCAGCACGTCAGAAACTGCTGGGGAATTCCAGCGCCTGACCCTGATCCTCTTATGTCCTCCCTTCCCAGTGGCCTGGTTCACATTTGACCCCAATTCTGGGCACCGGGACATCATTTTATCCAATGACAACCAGACAGCCACCTGCAGCAGCTACGATGACCGGGTAGTGCTGGGCACAGCCGCGTTCTCCAAGGGTGTTCACTACTGGGAGCTGCACGTGGACCGGTATGACAACCACCCAGACCCCGCCTTTGGGGTGGCCAGGGCCAGCGTGGCCAAGGACATGATGTTGGGCAAGGATGACAAGGCCTGGGCCATGTACGTGGACAACAACCGCAGCTGGTTCATGCACTGCAACTCCCACACCAACAGGTACTGCCCTGCCCTGCCTGGCCCAATGTGTCCCTTCCATCTTCACCTCAAAGCCAGGCGTACAGGGGCCAGGTGGTGGTGTTTTAGGCGCTTTGGTCACCGGTTCTGGGAGGCTTTGACAGTGATCAGGGAAGTGATCGCTGTTCTGCAGTGCAAATGAGAGTGTGTGACAGTCTCTCGCACTCACTCGCACAGCAGGTCCGCAGTCTTGCAGCTGGCACAGGATGGGTACTGCTGGGTACTGAGCTCAGGGTTTTCTTTCTGGCTCTGCTCCCCTTTCCTTTATAACCGTCAAGCCACGCCCGAGTCACTTCAGGATGTGAGTGAGCACTGGCTCTCTGCAGGGAGCAGATGATGCCATTGCTGGCCGTTCACCTGGAGTGACCTCCACCACTGCCCTCAGCGGGGAGGGGTTTCAAGGCGTTGAGTTCACCGGGTGGGTCCTTGCGGTTCTCTGCTCCGGGTCTACCTGCTGCTCTTACCGACGGTCATGGGCTCCTTCCCCACAGCGGGAGAGAGCAGTTTCTCTCCCAGGGAGTCTTGGTCTGGCTGGACTGGTCTGGAGTCCCTGGGGACCTCACCTGCTGACTGCCTGTTTATGACTAATGCTCTTTCCCCTAGAGGCTTGAGGGCAGGCAGGCAGGCAGCTCTTTCTGCACTCTCTGTCTTGGCTGCATTTTCTTGCTGGCTGACTAGACAATGCAGGCTGAGTGGTCCTGCAGGTTGATCACTCCCTTCGCCCACAGCCCACAGAGGGGCGGAGTCCTGAGCTCCAAGCTTGGTGGAGTCAAAGCCTCACACTTTAGCACGGTTACTACCGCCACCCTGTGGTCAACCGCAGAAGAGCACCACCAACCCAGTTCGAGTCCCCTTTCTGACCATGGGTCCTGAGCCTTCTGCACCTTCCAGAAAACCTGCCCTCTCAAGTAACACACCCTCCAGGGCCACCCACAAGCCCTCTTCCAGGCTTCCTGTTGTAAGCCCTTCCACCGCTGACCTTCTCTCTGACCCAGCTACTCAGCTCAGTCCTAACAGGAAACATGGGCATAATTTTCTTTTCTTTTCTTTTCTTTTTTTCTTTTCTTTTCTTTTCTTTTCTTTTCTTTTCTTTTCTTTTCTTTTCTTTTCTTTTCTCTTCTCTTCTCTTCTCTTTTCTTTTCTGTGGTACTAGGAATCGAATTCAGGACCTTGCGCTTGCCAGGCAGGCGCCTGTGCAGCTGAGCTATATCCCTGGCCCCCAAGGGCATGCTTTTCTTAAGGGGTGAGTTGGCCCATGGGCAGGAGGCAGGTTCAGCCAGGCCCAGGTCATGCTCGGAGGGTGTTCTGCCCCAGCCACATGATACAGGCTTCTGGGACTCCATCCCTGAGGTGCTCAAGGCCCCACTGCTGGTCACCTGGGGATGGAGACTCGGACACAGGGCTTGATTTCCACCTCGTGCCCTTCTGCCTGCCATAGCTGTGTCCCCAGAATGGTATGTCCTGCAACCTTTGTGTCTGAATCTCAGTCCAGCTCAGCATCTGCACAGCTTAAAACTGAGAAGGAGACCAAGTTAGTTCTTTGCTTTGGCAGCAAAGGCAACTTCTATATCCATCCTGCCTGCACCCTAAATTCAGAGGGCCCCCCACTCTGTGATGTGCAGGTCTCCCACAGGGCTAGGAAGAGCTGAGCAGCCCGGTCCCCTAAGTTAAGGGTCTTCCTGTGTGGTCCAGTAATGGGTGTGCACCACCAGAATCTTGGAAAACCGCAGACCAAACCTTGCCCCGACCCAGGGGCTGTTTTTAGCAAGGGTATCCCCAACATCCTTCTAAGGATTCTCCGGAGTCATGGCCCGTATCCCAGGCTGAGTGTGGTGACGCGTCTCACTGGCTGTCTCACTAGGACGGAAGGGGGCGTGTGCAAGGGAGCCACTGTCGGAGTGCTGCTGGACCTGAATAAGCACACCCTGACCTTCTTCATCAATGGGCAGCAGCAGGGCCCCACAGCCTTCAGCCACGTGGATGGCGTCTTCATGCCGGCCCTCAGCCTCAACCGCAACGTGCAGGTACCTCATGCCTACTGCCCCGCGTGGTCTGGGTGCTCCCTGCTGCTAGCCATGGGCTGCTGCCCTCACTAGAGCAAGTCAGAGTCTCAAGAATCTGGTCACGGAGCCCATCAGACAGAGCAGAGAGCCAGGGTGGGGGCTCTCTGAGGGGATCAGTTCCCTCTTGTTCTCTTGACCAAGCGGGGCCAACTTTGGAGAAGGAGAGCTCAGTGCTGGGCCCAGGCAGGGTGTCCCAGCCAGAGACAAAATGAGGGTGGCGGGAGGATCACCCGCCAGAGGGTGGCGGGAGGAGAGAACCAAGGACGGCATCATATCCTCTAAAGCAGTCTTCCCTGGGAAGGGCTGGAGACCTGCCTTGGGCTGCTCACTGGGCCTGCATACTGATGCATCCACAGCAATCATTTCTTTCTAAAAAATATATTTTGTTAATGCCTATTAGTTTTACAAAATGTTGGGTTTCCATATATTTTCATACATGCACATAACATATTTTGATTATATCCATTCACCCTCCTACCCTTCCTCATACCTCCTTACTCTCCCTAATCCCTTCCTCTTGTGTAATAAACTTTGTTGCCATCTTTTTTTTTCTTTTTTTGAATTTTTGAGACAAGATATTACTACACAGTCCCTAGTCTCAAACTCAGTGATCCTCCTGCCTCATCCTCTCAAGTATTGAAATTAGGGAATGTGCCACCATAACTAGCTCATTTTTTTTAAGATTTCATATATTAGGGAAAATGTGATCTTGTCTTTCTGAGTCTGTTGTATTTTTCTTAACAAGATGATCTCCAGTTCCATTCATTTTCCTGCAAATGACAAGTACTTCTTGATCATTTACCAAGGATATTAGTCCCTAGTGTTAGCAGGCCATCCTCAGGAAAGGAGAGCAGACTACCGCCCCAGCTGTCTGGTCGTCTCTTCCAGGTCACCCTGCACACGGGATTGGAAGTGCCAACAAGCCTGGGGAGGCCAAAACTGACAGGCAACTAGCCTGGCAGCTCCCACTGTCCAGCTGGCCTGTGACTGGGGCCTCGCCAGAAGGAGCTGCAAGTCCTCGTGAAGCTCCAGTAACCCAAAGGGGCAGGTGGCAACAAGCAAGTCCTGGGCACAGCTCAGCAGCCACTGAACATCTGAGATGGTTTCCTCAGGACGCGCTGCAGGCCACACTGCAGCCATCACCCCAGTGGAGGACACAGGTGTGTGCTTCACCTTCTCCCACCCAAATGTTACGGACACTCACCACATGGGGCTCTCCCAGGGGATCGAGGCTTTCGGGTCACGTGTATGCTTCCTGCTGTCTGATTGCAACGCCGATCTTTTGTTGGAGGAGACAGGAAGGCCAGCTTCGAGGCTGGCACCCTGAGATGGAGCCAGGAGGCTGTGATGTCACCCCATCACTGAGTGCTACCCCTGTGGCAGGTTCTCGTCTCTGCTGGGAGAAGCCACCCTTCAGCATTCTGGCCCTGGGGCCTTCAGTACATGACATGCCACTTGCAGGCCTCATTCAGGGCTGATCAAAAGGGACATTAATCACTAATGCTTGAGTTTTGCCTCTCTCTACTGAGAACATTTTAAAGGGCTTCCTTAGGGTCTTATCAATCCACCAGTTGTATACTGTTTTTCTTTCTGTCTCTGTCTCTGTCTCTGTCTCTCTCTCTCTCTCACACACACACACATACACACACTCATGGGTTTGTCCAACAGTCAACTACATGTCATTCCCTGAGTTCTTAGTTCTTAGCCATAGATGGAAATACTGGGACTTTAAAGCCTGTGATATGTCTTCACCTGGAGGCGACTGTTGTGGAATTTGCTGCCCCAGAAGCTAACTGGAAGTGTGTCCGGGCTGTTCTTCCGGGCTGGACCACCCACACACTTAGAAGCACAGGGGCTGGTGACCTGGGAAGGCCTCTCATGTCAGTCCACCCTTTGTTTTGCAACTCCCCGTCACACTGCTGTCAGGAAAGCATTATACACACAAGAAGTGCCCCAATGGCAAGAGGGTGGCTCTGCTGTGACAGGGTGAGCAGGACCTGTGAGGAGGACAGGAACTTCACGGCAACGGCCTGCGCCTGTTCTCCTCCGGCCCAAGCCCAGCGCACTGTGTCCCATGGGCCAGGGGGCTCTGGTGTGAGTCCTCGTCCTCCTCCTGGGAACAAGACCAGGAAGAAGACAGGAAGGCCTTCCATTCCACATTGTCCTTCCACTTCTAGGACCTGACCCCTGTCTCCTCCCTTGTTCCCTGTGTTCTGCTCCTCTAGCTCCACCTGGAAGTCACCTTGCTCCCTCCTTTTTAAGACTCTTTTATCAGTTATTTGATTTTGATGTTGAGGACTGGCTTGTCCACTTGCTGGGGTGGATTTTTGTAAGACTGGCACCAACTGTGCTTCCTCAGCTGCTTTCTAATGCAGATCCCGACTGTTTCCGAGGATCCGCTGCCAGGCTGTGCAGGGCCAACCATCCTACCTCGGACCTCACTCATGGCCCGCCATTTCCTCAGATGAGCCCAGTTGGATCAGCGCCCAGTGTTACCAGGAGCAACTTGGTGCTGTATTCTGGCCTCCCTGCTGGGCTCCGGAGCCATCTGCTCTATCGGGGTCCAGGGCTTGAATCTCCACTCTCCTTTCCTACCTGGTGGTTTCTGGCTGTTTACTCTATCCCAGAGCCCTGTCAAGAGCTGTCTGTACAGGACCTGGCCTGCTGTCCTCAGCTGCTCAGCTGCTGCCCTCATGCACTCTCCTATAGCCTCAGCTACAGTCCCAGCTCCGGGACCCCGGCTCCCCATGGGGCAGATGCCCAGAGCCTGAAGAACGCAGAGAAGCTACAGCCTTCTTGGGCCAGGGAAGCCATGGTGAGGTCCACAGGCCCAGATGCGGTGGCTTTGGGGGCATCTTGCTGTCTTGGAGAAGACTGGCTACGCCCCGGGCATGGAGGCAGGGCTGGCAAGGCTATGAAGTCAGGGAGAGTCCTCACAGTCAGCAGAGGGTCACAAGGACACCTCAAATCACCCATTTTGGAGCAGGCACAGTTCAGGGACAGCTGGGGGAGACAGCAGCCGGATCAGAGGAGACACAGACACACAGATGGGAATGCCCACAATTTTAGGTGGGTTTTTTTGTTTTGTTTTTGTTTTTTTAAAGCAGTGCTGGAGATCAAACCCAGGGCCTCACACACACTAAGGCAAGCACTCACCATTGAGCCATACCCTAGCCCTCCAGGTGGCCTCTTTAAGAACAAAGTTGCCTGATATCCTAAGAGGCAGCCAGGACATTGGGGGAAGAACAGCCAGGACATCTGCCTGCATTGGGGTGGGGGCATCCCCCTTTTCTTACCTGCACCAGAGCCCAGAAGCAATAAGGCTGAGGCCAGGGCAGTGCTGCGCAGGCCTTCCAAACCACCCCAGACAAAGCTCCTCTCAGGGCAGGTCGGCCACACATTTGTGTGTTTGAGGGATCTGAAGCAAAGATGGAACTTAGCAACTCTTTAAGGCTGAAGCTGTAGAACAGACAGGTCATGGGATTCTCATCACCCAAATTCCCTACCACTCTGCAGTGTGGCCAGATGTCTGTACACAAATGGGATCAGGATGATGCTTTGGCTGGGCTGGCTGAAGAACACCTTGGTGTAAATCTGTCTAGCAGTTTCCATGAGAAAGGAACTCAAAGTAGCTTAAGATATGGAGTTCCACTGTGATGCAGTTGATGCCTCTGTACATAGCCCCGCAGTTCCTTCTTCGCTAGGGAGCCACTTTGGTCAAAGCGTGCTCAAGCTCATCTCTTAGAAGTACTCACTAGAATCTTCCCTCACTCTCAGCATTCAGCTCCTGCTCCAGGATGGGAGGCCAGTGCCCACAGCTGGCTTTCTTTCCTTCTCTATCCTCCTTGGGAAGTAATAATCCCAGTTTTAGTGAACATGGGTTCCTGGCCTATGCACTGTGACCCAGGCTGACTGTTAGCCTCTGTGCGCTCTGTGGCTGCAACACCACCCTTATGCCCTGTGGCCCGCAGGGTAGGGGGGCCCACTTCTCAGAGCAAGCCTATGTGACACCATGGTGCTCCCCAAGAGACAGGGAGGAAGCCTTCCTCTCTGAGCCCCTTCTCTGCTCACAGTGCCCCTGCCCTGCTAGAGTACCCTCAGGCAGAATCAGATGTAGCATTGACGTGCAGTCTCTCGGGGATTCCTGCATCACTCCAGGGAAAGGCTGTCTTCCTGCAAAGGCTTGTTTCCATGCTAGTGGCAGGTAGTTGCCCCAGTCCCACTGCCACCTGTGGCCGAGAGGGTGGATGAACTCTTTGGGACCTCAACATGGGAATGCTGCAGAACACTGTAACAAGGCTGTGGGTGAAGCCAGAGTTTCTCACCTTTACGGACACTTTGGGGCAATCTCCAGTCAGTTGTGACATTCACAAGTATCTAGAAAGGCTGCCAGATATCCCTGGGACTTGCCCCTACTCAGTACCACCCGGTCAGCTATTGGTCTGCCGTGTGTCAATGTTCAGAGTGGTGGTGGCATCCACTTCCCCACTGCACTGGACCCTGTATTACAAAGCTGCCACCCCTCAAGTCAGTCCAAGACCAGAATTTTCCACAAGCCTTCAGGGGGCCCTTCAGGTGGGGGAAGGGGTGAGCCACAAGCAGATGCCACGCTGCCAGGTCTCACATCTCTGCTCCTGGTCCACGCTCGGCACCACCCTCCTTCCCTAGAGAGGAAAACCTCCTTCCATTTGTTTTTCTTGGCCACTAGAAGCAACAGGGACTTAAGAGTTTGTGACCTTCAGCAGGTTAGATATCTAATCAGATATCTCTAGCAGATCTTCAAAGTCTGTGCTAATCCTGGGAAAGCTCAGGACTTTTTGAAGTGGTCCCATAGCTGTTGTCACCGACCATCTTCCTCAGCAGCTCTTCCTCGAAGGAATCCCGGCAGCTTAGGGAAGCAGGCTGCAGAAAGATGCAGGTGGGCTTGCTGCAGGACGCGCTGAGCAGACACCAAGCGCGGCCCTCAGATGCTTGCCTCTCCCACCTGGCTTTGACACTGGTTCGTGGGCCTGGGTGGGGGCAAATCTCTGAATCTTTCTGTGCCTCAGTATCCCTGCCTGTAAATGGTACTAGTCACAATAACCTACCTCCTCTTCTGTCTTGCGAGGATTATGGAATAGCACTTTTTAAAGAAAAAAAAACCTTGCAGTCTCTCAAGTCTAGGCCAATGACTCACATTTGACAGATCATTGCTGTGCAGGGATTTTCCAGAGTCCTCTGACCACAATGTCTTCCACCTAAGCCTCCTTGTGACCAGGACAAGTATGGATTACTCAGCTGTCTGGCTGGAGGAGATAGAAGAGGCATTTAAAGGTGTCATATGACCATAGACAGTAACACCCCAAGTGCTCCACTGCCAGGGAGGTCTGGTGCTCCGTTCAAGTGCAGGGAAGAAGCTTCCTGTCAGTAATCTCGTGGCTTCAAGCAGAAGCCCCCACCAAGCCAAGGAGACATTAACCTGGCATTCTACCTCCTTGGTCACTAAGTCCTGGTGTCCAAGGGTTCCCTCACCCACAAGTTCTCTGCAGAGCGCTGATGACTGCCGCGACTTCGCTTTCTGACCTATTAGGGGAGAAGACTCAAGGACGATATTAACTTCAATTGGACGGAGTTGCGAGTTGACTCAATGCTGTTCCCTCAAGGGGCACAGCTCATGGTAGCCACAGCCTCCAAACTAGTCCTAGGAAAGGCCCTCGGGCTTGTGGGCCAGTAAAGTGGGCACTGGGCACCAGAGCACGTCCCCCGGGCGAGGCTTCAGGGCCAGAAAGGGGCTGCTGGTGGCTGTGAAAGCAGGACTTGGGGGTGCGCGCTCCAGGAGACAGGCTTGGGACAGCCATTCCAATCCCTCCCGCTGGAGACTGGACTTCTTGAGCCCCGCAGGGTCTCAGCACTGGCAGGGGGAAGTGGGCAAAGCAGAAATGTAAATGCATGATGTAGAATTGCTGCCTTCGCACTACGCTGTTGTATTAAGCATGAGAGGTGTTTGTTTAACGTTGGCAAAGGAATTTAACACGAAAAAAGCTGTGTCTTTGTTTTGGCTGTCGACAGACCTTCCATTTTCCTGCCTTTCTTTGTCCCCTTTTCCCATACCCCTCATCATTTCACTTTGTCCCTAGTAGTTAGTATTTGGTGACAGATCTTGGTCCTGGGGCTGTTTATGTTCCACGGAAAACACAGAGGGGTGGGCAGTGGTAAGGAAAGTAATTTTTTCTAATTTTTGTATTGGTATCCACAAGCGTTTGTATTTTTTTAATTGCAAACACTGTGTGTTGTGGTCTTTGGCAGTTGGTTGCATTTTCTGTATGACCTTTTGAAAAACTTGAGTTTTACCACAGTCTTAAGCAGATTTGAAATAAATTCTTTTGACACTGCCAGCAACTGGAAGACAGGAGTTGTCTGTGACGGTAGTTCAGAGGCACTGTGCCTTTCTGCTGGACAAACAGAGGCAGGCTGGCCTCTCACCCAGGAGGGCCACTAGACGGGTGCTGTGGGTAGCGGGCCAGCGTGGTTCTGCACTGCGGGCCCCGGAAATCTTGAGGTGGTGATACATATGGCTTTAACTTGTAAGGCACTACTTTCAACAGTGGGGAGGGCATGGAACTCATTTCGACAGAAGGTAACGAAGCTGGAGATGTGGAACAGTCAACACATAGTTGAGGCCAATCCACGTGTGAAAAATTTATGCTCCGAGCCAAAACAGCTGTGGGGAAACACCGTAAGTTAAAAGCATCCAAGAGACTCACTGGCCCTTCGGCCACATGGACTGAAACCAGATGTGTCCAACCTGGAAACTTTGTCCCTCACTGGCTCCCCACATCATGGTCCTCATAAACAGCCGACACCCACCCACAGCCCCAGTCCATCTACCCAATGATCACTAGGTGGGCTTAGCTACAGAAGCTGCAGGTCAGGACTCCAGGCAAGCAGGCTGAGACTAGAGTGTGGGTGTTTCTTAGGGGTGCTCTTGGGATCAGCACCCACGGGAGTCAAGAGGAGGAGGAGGGATGGGACGGGGAGGGGGGGAAACATTAAGACCCAGTGAAGTCACGGTTCCCCTGAGCTGGGGCGAGAGGACTGAGCTTTGAGCTCTTTCATCGATTACACACCAGGAAGGGGACAGAACAATCCCTGAAGAGGCTAACAGCTGAGGGCCTTTCTCCCCGGGACACACTGCTCCTGGACACACACATTCTTCCACACACACCTTCTCTGTCACCCAGGTGAGCACCTGCTGGATCCCCAGGTGCCTGCGGCTGACACATCTTCTCCCACTGTCCTCTGCTCACTACTGGGCCTCTGTGGCCAGCACAGCACAGACGCAGATGAGTAAACCAGTGAGTTAGTTCACCCTTCAAAACCCAGCCCAAGTTCTGTTTCCGGGAAATCTCCCCAGATCTGCTGAGATGAGCTGTGTCTTTCAGGGCTGTTGATGGCCCTTTTGTACATGGCTCGGTGGCGGGGGACACCCTGCTTTCATAAGCCTTAGTGCGACCTCTGGGTTGTAACTGTGTCAGGAAAGGCAGGGTAAAAAATATTCACCACGTACCTGAGCACTCATTCTAGTCTGTCCCCAAAGGGTAGGTAAGTGTAGGGTACACAGAAAGAAAGGCTGAGTTTCTTCCTGGAGGAAGTCGGCCACACCAAGAAGGTGGTGCAAGTGCAGTATGGGGCAGCCAGGACAGCAGTGGGTCACAAGTAGGGGGTGCTGCGAACTCCAAACAGGTGGCATCGTGGGTGAGGAGTTTGCAATTTGCCCTTCATGGAAGCACACGCTTCCTTGCACCATCAGTCCAGTGAGGCAATCAGTGACAGAGGCGACAGCTCCTGGAGTTACATAATCGTGTTTTGCTCCACTAGCTAGCTACCTACGGAGTTGGCCACACAGCCATTTCCTGGCCTGTTCACTGTGTCCTAAGGCCACAGTTCTGGAGGCCTTTGGTCTAGCCCTCCGCGCCTCCAGCCCTGGCCAGCCATCTCACCTGCCCCACATATCCTATGGAGCTATGTGGGTTGGATGGTGCAGTGTGTGAAGGGCCGAAAGCAAGTACTGCCAAGGGCAGATGGCAACACACAAATGGTCAGAGTGCATCTGCCCCGGGGACTGAGGCCCTGGTCCCCGGCCTTCGTGCTGATGGCCACATCTCGGCAGTAACCCCATCTTCCTCCTAATGACTTTTTAACAATCACTTCTCTCAGCTCCTGACCTTACTGGAGGAAAACTCACCAACAGAAAATAAAGAGCACTGGCTTAAGCTTGACCTTTAGTTCTTAAAGTACAGGTTTCTTGTGTTTATTATTTTTGTCTCTAATCCTCTAAGTGCTTGTGGAATACCCAGTTTTTAGAAAACTGCTTTTTAAATATTTACACAATAAAAAGTAGAAATAAGTGCGGTAGTTTGTAACTGGAATTTAGGTGGTTTTCCAAAATGGACTGGGCTGGGGCTCTAGTCCAGTCTGGCCACGTACTGTTGTCCAAGCCGTCAAAGCTCCCTGGAGAGAGGTAGGGCAGGGCTGAGCAAGGTGAGGCCTTCTCCAGCCCCAGCCCCTCTGCCGGCAAGACAGGGTTCAGTCATCTAGTCCTTCCTCAGACAGGTCCTTTCTAGTTCCCAAGATTTTTTTCCTATCATTTTCTGTCATGTTTAAGATCTTCTATACTTTTTTTTGAGGTAAGGACTCACTATGTCCAGCCTGGCTTTAAACCTGCTATATAGCCCATGCTGGCCTTGAACTCATAGATTCCCGTGTCTCAGCCTCCTGAGTGCTGTGACTACAGATGTACAGTACCACATCATAGTTTATACATTTTAAAAACATTATTCTTTTTTTAACACACAGAGCGGGGAGGAACGTAAGTCTCGTTCCTGGCCTGACACATACAGAAAGCCAAGTGTTCACTCCACGGCCAAATGCAGCCCTGGAACAGCTTTGCAGGAGAGAAGGCCACAGGGCAGGTCTGCACTGACGACAGGAGGCCAACCGTGCAGGAACACTGGCAGCACTCCCAGCCCACACAGGCCCTAAGCAATGTGGGTCAGGGAAAGAAGGGTGTGGAGTAGGGAGAAGCAGCTCACATCCTGGCAAGTCACTTCCCGTACTTAAGGCTACTTAAGTCCTTCTCTTCGCATGTCTACTCTGTAGAGGGGCCCTGGGGAGCTAAGGGTACCTGACTACGTGGGCACTCTGCACGTGCAACGCTTACGACAACTGAGTCAGCAAAGGCTAGGAAAGAAATACATTATTTTTATACAGTGCCAAAATATATTCCCTAGTGAACACTGCCTTTCATAGTAATCCTGGAAATCAAAATCCCCCTTCCAATTCTGCTGGCACTATTTAATTTTGTGAGTTTCTCGATCGGCAATGTGTTCAGAGCCAACTCAAAGTCACATAACACAGTCTGTCATTTACAACTCCTTGGATCTTTTTTGACAAAAACTTGTTTGCTAGGCTGGGATCTGACACACAGCAATAAAATAAAGTCGAGCCGGGCACTGTGGTATATGTCAGCAATCCCAGCTACTCAGAAGGCAAGAGGATTGTAGGTCTGTAGTCACCCTGGGCAATTTAGTAGACCTTATCTCAAGTTAAAAACAAGAAGGACTGGGAATATACCTTAGTATGAGAGCAGCCATATATACTATAAAAGCTGTATTTATTTATACAAATTCAGAAAAAGTACATTTTACACAAATAGGCTGAAAATTAAAACTCCTTTTGCAAACAAATCACATTCTTAGTTCCTTCATGATTCAATAATATCATTACAAATATTAAAAGGCAACATAATGTTAATTACTAGCATTTATAAGACAGTGAAAGTATGAAAAATGGTATTACAAGCGAACTTGCCTGGCACCAGTATACAAGAATTGGAAGTGAGGCCTGCTCACTCGGCCCTGCAGCTCTGTGACTGATACATCAGAACCTACAAAGGCTCTACTCGGGCTTCCCCAAACGAAGAGGCAGTGTGTAGCACGTGAGAGTCTGGAAGTCTGGCCAGGTCCAGGGTCATATGGTCACTTGTTCTCATTCTTTTTTTTTGGTACCGGGAATCAAACTCAGGCCCTTGCGCTTGCCAGGCAGGCGCTTGTGCCGCTGAGCTGTCTCCCCAGCTCTCATTCTTCTTTATCTGATAAAGTGCTTTATTTAGACACTCTGGAAGAATTTATTTTTTTGATATCAAATGGACTCAGAATCAATGTTCCATTTTTGAATTTTCCAACCTGTCCAACCTGTCCACTTGATAAAATACTGGGAGCCGTCTTCTTCTTTTTGGATTTCCTACATTCAAGGTGAGAAAAAAGAACCATGTAGTTAGGCATAAGAAGCACTGCAGGCCACTGCAGGCTGCCTGTAACCTGTCCCTTTCCACGCACAGCCAGCCCAGGCCCATGGCCTTCCTGCCTCAGGCCGCTGCAGGGAGGAATGATTTTCCAGGCTGTCCCTTCTCTCTACACAGTTCTCGACCTGGATGTCACCTCCCTCTCCACCAGTGCTCTCCTCTCACAAGATGCTATTCCATCCTCTTCACAGGATTTGCCAGCATCTAAGGTCACTATGCTGATCAGTCTGCTGCTTTCCCAAAGCTAGCCTGGGAGGACAGGGGTCCCCTCAGTGTGACTTCAGCTGTATCATCCATGCATCCAGCACACCATAGGCACTCAACAGACAGACACCTGTCACTGTGGCCAGAACAAATGATTACTTTTTGGCATGGACAAGTGCACAAGGAGTCCAAGGAAAGGGCCAAGACAGAGAGTCCATTCTGAAGCAGGAACTGGAAAAGAGGAGGCACCTGAATGGAAGCTAAGAAACAGGCATGAGGCAACAGTCAGTGCTCTTTACTGAATCTCATGACACTCAGCCCTCCCCAGAAAGGCAAAGAAGAGCTGGGGATATAGCTCAGCGGCACAAGAGCAAGGTCCTGAGTTCAATTCTTGGTAGCACCCCCCTCAAAAAAAAGAAGGGCAAAGAAGATAACACAGAGTGGCTATGTGGTACACCAACGACATCACGCTCAGCTTC